CTCAAACCACAACTCGGCCATACATCATCAAGGCGATCACCTCCATAAGTAGCAAAGTAAATTTTTAAAATTAGGTGTTTTCCTGGGCAATTAATACATCTCCAAGTGTATATACCTAGTATTATTAAAGACTTTTAATAGGATATTCTACTTAACTACTTAGCAACTATTTAATAATACAGTCCACTACAATAACATCACATAAGTGTATATTTATTATTTTATATGTATTTGATTTTGTGCAATTAATTAATTATGAACCAGTGAGCAGCATTTTTGAGCTTATTAAAATTTCCCACACCCCACACATACACACCCATGTTCTTCATTTTTCTTTTTATAGTTTATATTGTATTTTCTATATTTCTTAGAATTGAAATAATATGTCCATAACTTTTACAGTTTCATTACATGCAACAATGGCAAAAAGTATAGTCATCTCAAAACTGGCTGGCAACATGTGTTATGGGGAATTCTATTACTACTTATAATGGTTACTTTACGTGATATTATATGCTCTTCAACCTATACATACGTCATTCTTGAGTAATGAGTAATTAGGCAGTAAGTACACTGTTGCAAACCATTCATAAAAATACTGAGAGTGATAGCAGGTTGTTAACCTTACAACCATTGGAATTGGCAAAAATGTCCAACCCAATGTAAACATTCCCAGACATCCATTATACACAACTCACAATTTTGCACATACAGTACAAGTAAACCGCGATTTATTCTGGGATTACATTCCTGAAAAACCTGTTGCAAATTGAAATATCATAAATCAAGTTCATTACAGTGACCCCTCGGTTAACGAACTCAATCCGTTCCAGAAGGTCGTTCGTTAACCGAAAAGTTCGTTAACCGAAACCATTGTTTCAATGGGTTTTTGGGTAATTGGTTCCAGCTCACCGAAAATTGCCTAAATTCAACAAAAATGGTAGAAAAGTTCACTTACTTTGAGGTGTGTATGTAGAAGGCTCCTGGATGATGATGATGATGATGATGATGATGATGATGATGGGAATTAGCATGGGGGTGGAGGAGAAGGAAGAAGAATAGGCATTGGGGTGGAAGAGAAGTCACCCCATGGCACCATTTCATCCATAAAATTTTAATTCTCTTGGTGTATTTCAAGATTATTTTCTTTAAATCAACACTGCACTGCATTATATATTGTCAATATGTAAAATATATTTCAAAATGACCAATAATTTGCTTGGAAACACAGAAAAAAAGCGTTTAGTTGAAGAGAGTCTCAAGCAAGATGTTACCTCCACTGAAAACAGAGAGAGACTAACGCCTGTCTGGTGTGTTAACAGGCTGGATGGCATGCCAGAAACTAGTTTCTTTACCTTCAATTATGTTCAATAATTGTTATAATGACTAAAAAAGTTAATATTAAACTTTTAAAATTATTGAATAGTATAAACATCTTGATATTTACTAAAATAGTAAGGAATTTAAGCCCTAGAACCGATTAATGTATTGGCGGACTGATACTAAAGCTGGTTGCCCAGTCAGTGCAAGCGAAAACATGTTGAGGTCGGTTCGTAAGAAATTCGTTAACCGAATTTTTGTTCGTTAACCGAATTGAAGATCCTTATGGAAGGCAGTTCGTTAACCGAAATTTCGTTAACCGAGGCGTTTGTTAAACGAGGGGTCACTGTATAACATAGGGATCAATGGGTTATGTCCCCCCCCCCACCCCCACAAAAAAAAAAAAATCCTAAACTAATAAAATAAATAGAAAACAACTAAACAACACTCGCCACATTATTAAGAACAAACCTGGCCACTTCACAATGTCATTCTTCACCTCCAAAGACACGGTTTTCCTGGGTGCCTTGGCCTCCCCAAACATAGGAGCCTTCACCAACAGCTTGCTAGACATTTTCAAAGTTACACTGCTAACTTCACAGTCATAAAAACAGAGCAAAAGCACTTCACAATCACAATAAATGTAAGGAATAAATAAAGATAATAAATAAAAGAAAAGAAAACATACTGCATTACCTTTTGGAACAGAGTAAAAAATAAATAAAAAATAAACAATAAATAGAACATATATCTACCCAAAATAATAAGATGAAAAAGAACAATATCACAGCTCACAGCTTGGCCTGGCGCAGGGGGGGAGGCGATATCCCCAACACCGCACCCCCCTTCCCCTCCCATGATCCGACATAAACTCCCCTGGACATAAGAAATTTTTACTCTTAATATTCTTTACTTTATGGTAATCATTTTTTTGGGGGGGAGGGGGAGGGAGGAGGGGGCAATACTCTGTATAAACGATTATGTGTTCATGTAACAGAGTAAAAGAAAATGAAGAAAATTACATACCGTATATACTCGTCTATAACCCCCTCATTTATAGGTCGACCCTGATTTTTTGACCAAGATATCGTTAATTTAAGATATTCCTCGTTTATAGTTCGACCCATGTTTTTGAGGGTAATGGAACAACAAAACCTTCACTAAAAATGCTCTACGTCCTATAAACTGAGGCTCGCCGTGCATGAAACACGAGTGCCGAAGGCAAATTGTTTACCATTTATTATTACGACACTTTACACTGAAACGAGGGTAGTTTAAAAAAAAATATTGTATACTTCCATTCAGGTATTTATTCAAGTCAATTAAGAGGGAATATTATTGTAATACAACAGTTTCTTACCTAAACCATTCGAAAAGCGATTACGATAACATCTTTTGAACGAAAGAAAGCGAAAGTCATTGCTTTCGTCACGATTTTATCCCACTTCCCATTGTAATACGCACGTAATTTCAGCAAAAATATTACATTTCCGTGAATGTATTATATCAAGCACAGTATGAATAGAATATCATTGTAAATAACAGAATTTTAACCGAAAACTATTAAAAAAACGAGTAACATCTCAAGAACAGAAGCTTAGGTAAAGTCTTTTGTTTTCGTTATGTATTTTATCCTATTTTACATTGAAATACATCACGTTTCAGCAAAACTACTGTTTATTTCCGAGAATATATTCATTCAGGCACAGTTTAGGTAAAATATACGTGTGATGTAATAGTTTTTTAACTGAAAATGATTCGAAAAACACGTACCCTGTAGCCCTGTTCAAGGAGAGGACTGGGAGAAGCTGTTTGGTGCTGCAGACGATGACAAGGAAAATGATTTTGATGGATTTTAATGAAAATATTCAGAAATATGGTATCGTAGTATTTATTCAAGTCAATTAGGATAGAATATTATCGCAATACAACAGTTTTTTAACTGAAAACCATTCGAAAAGCGATTACGGTAACATCTTTTGAACGAAAGAAAGCGAAAGTCATTGCTTTCGTCACGATTTTATCCCACTTTCCACTGTAATACGTACGTCATTTCAGCAAAAATATTACATTTCCGTGAATGCATTATATCAAGCACAGTATGAATAGAATACCATTGTAATATAACAATATTTTAACCAAAAACTATTAAAAAAACGAGTAACTTCTCTTGAACATCGGAAGGTTAGGTAAAATCTTTTGTTTTCGTCATGTATTTTATCCTATTTCACATTAAAATACATCACGTTTCAGCAAAACCACTATTTATTTCCGAGAATATATTCATTCAGACGCAGTTTAGGTAAAATATAATTGTGATGTAAGTTTTTTAACTGAAAACGATTCGAAAAACACGTGTACCGTCTAGCTGATACAGCTGGTGGTGTGTGATGCGTCATGCGTCGTTGTAAACAATAGGAGGTTGAAATAGATTACCGGGTATTATATTAAGTGTGAAATATCGAAAAGGTTTTTAATACCGGTATTTCTTGTAGATCAATGAGAACTGTGATACCGTATATGATATGATAAGTTAGCCTGTGCTAAGAACTTCAACATAGACTACTGAAAGCACGTTGTAAGGTAATTTAGCCTATTGTAAGTTGGTGAGCTTCATTTACTGAAGGAACTGCACAACTTTTCATTACTAATTGGTACATACTTTACATTTCCATTGTTTACTGGCAGTAAATGGTAAATATTTTTCATTTCTGAAGCTAAAAGTTGCTCCTCGCCCTTCCCATCATGCACGGGTTCAACCTAACAAAACTATTACGCATGTATAGGACGACCCCCAATTTTTTGCCTAAAAACTCGAACTATACACGAGTATATACGGTATATCTGCCCAACATTATATGTTGAACAATAACATAACTCACAGCTCGGCCTCACCCACTCTGAGTGCTACAGGGTGGCGAGTTGGAGACTCTGCTACACAATTAAGTGCCATTTACACGGATATTATACATAGTTATCCCTCGTTTAAGATGTTATTTCTCATTAATCCTTGTTTAAGATATTATTTCTTATTATCCCTCATCTAGCGATCATTTTGCATTAATGATTGGTTTTTCAGGAACTCATCCCAATTGTTAAGCAAGGGATACCTGGACAGTATTCCGCGCAACAGCGAGTTTGGACAGACGACGGCCATCATTCATGTGAATTTTTTATCGTATACCCTGTATAGGGAGGTGGTCTTAAAACAACACCATCATTAAAGTAAAATATCCGAAATAGAGAGATCGCGTATCAAGTTTTACCTGTAAATATACAATACGTAAAGGAGATTATCAAATATCTAACAAAATAACAAATAAAAATTGAGACACACTCTCTTGCCCTTTTCTGGAGTTACCACTCACTTTATGTATTGTGACAACGAAATCTGTGTACACATGCTGGGAGAAAACAAGAAAAACATGTGAGACCACAGACAAAGATAAAGCACAGTAAAGAAAGTCAAGTTACAATGTGTGGTGAGGTGCAGTTGGAAACTGTCTGAGTGCACCAAAACAATGATACTGTAGTATAAGTTGCTATTTGCGGTTTTGCCAATTCACGCCATTTCTTAGAACCTATCCCTCACGAATGGCAAGTGTCTACTGCATATAAAATTTCCAAAAGCCTAGAGTTTGGTCCTAAGCATGTCAGAAGAACATAAAATTTATACTAACCAGCTACACGGATGTGCTGCAGCTTTGGCATGAGCTCACAGTCGAAGCAGCACATGGTGTCCCCTGTGAGGAAACGGGTTCCTCTTTCACCAAGATGATCATTGATCTTGCGAAGGTAATTCAGCAGAATATTCTTGGAACTATCATCACGCTTCAGCAACATCAGCTTAAATTTCTGAGAATGATGAGAAAGATGAGAATACATTAAAAAAAATTATTAGTTCAATGAACCATATCACATAAAAATTTTTAATGATGTCACAGAATCATCATCATCACTGTTTTACAGTCACTTTCCACATTTACGTAGGTTAGCTGTGATAACCTGATGGTGTGGTGTCCTGGTTGCCATCAGACAAATTTGAAGGAAGTTTTACAGCTGGATTCCCTTCCTATCACCAACCCACTTTTACATACGGGTAGTGAAAACAAAGCATTATATGAAGGATTTCCAAGAGTCCTTTAGCTAGCATGGCAGGATCGTAACTCCTCGAGGTAATAAAAGATTACCTGCCAACCCAAAATTAATACACGTGTTGGACCATTTATCCGCCATCCTAGTACAGTATCTGAAACGCTCGAAAAACTGGCTATGTTCTTGAACCAATTATTTAAAATGATTGCCAAGTAATTCCCACACTGATTGGGGATGCTGTACTGTGTTTCCAAAACCATTCTCCACATGTGGTCTGTATGTTACTTTATGGTTATTTTTAACTCGTAATCATGGGTAGATATACTGTATGTAATTTTCTTTATTTTCTTTACTCATTTACATACACACTCAATCTTACATACAGGAATTAAAAAAAGAAAAGTATAAAGTATTTTTTAACCCGGAATTTTGGGTAGATACATGTACAGCAGAGCCTCGATAAATCGGACTAATTAGGGCAGACCTCAGTCCGAAAAATGCAAAAGTCCGAAAAAAGACGAAAAAAGCAAATATAGGAGGGAGGGAGGGAGGGAGGTGGAGGGCTTTAAGTGTATAACAAGGTTATTAAAAGAATATTACATCAACAATAAAAAATAAATATGAAACAGAACTCTCTGCGATGAAAATCAGACATGTAAGTCTGGTTGTCAACAACTGTTGTCACCGAGATGATTGTTATTTACTGCAATGTTATATGTAAGTAATCACTGGATCTTTTCTCACACTTCCACCACAACTTGGTTTTGAGAGCAGCATTTATTTTTTCGGGAATTAGCCCACCCGGACACAGGTCAAACGACACACAATGGGGCCTGGGGAAGGCAAAAAAAAGAACAAAGAAATTAAAAATAGAGAAGAAAAAAGTTATACTGTGTTAATCTACACCATGAAGATGCTGGAAAACCAGCTTTTTAAAGTGAGACAGGTTGTATAAGTATGGAAACACAGAAGAAGGCAGAGCATTCCTCAGTTTGGCTGTGTGAGGAAAGAAGGAGGTACTATAACGGGTTATTCTCGTGTGACCGACATCGACAGAGAAACGGTGGGCACCGTGGGTAAGACATGTGTTACCAACCCACGGCCTTCCCGGCGGTACACAGGATGCCAAATCCACCTATCATTGCCCGTTAAAGTATCTGTAAAAGAGAGAGAGTGAAGCAACATTGTGGCGAAGAGAAAGGGAAGAGAAATTGTCGACTAAAGAAGGAGAGTTAATAAGACGAAACGCCTTTCATTCCACCCTATCTAACAGTTGGACAGAAGAAGAGCCACCCCAAAAATGAGAGCAGTACTCCAAGTTAGGATGAATGAATCCCTTATACACTTGGAGCAACTGCTCAAGAGTGCAGTAGCTACGGCATCTGTACAGCATTTCCAATTTTCGGGAGGCAGCTTTAGCTATATTAAGGATGTATGATTTCCAGGACATATTGGAAGAAATGGTGAGGCCTAACATATTTATTTTAGAATTTGGCAGGATGATAGCGTCCTGAAATGTAATTGGAGGAACATCGTCTAATTTACAAAGTGTAATTGGTAAATATTGAGTTTTATTGCTATTGAACTTAACCAAGTTTGTACCTCCCCATTCAGAGATGCTGCATGTTTGGTACAGTACAATATTAGTATACATGAACTTATTGAGGCAGAATTTTTAACCATGTTTATTACTGTTAACCCTGTTGTGCATGATGCAAATCATGCCAAATCATTGGGTAACACTACAGTATTTCATCAGATGCAAATTACACTGTTCAACTTTAAAAAATTAAAGAACATTTTTTCAAGGTATTTGTGTCAAATTTTTGTGCGCCATAGATGATTACATGATCTTGCAAGGGAAGCTTCCAGAAAGTACTAAAGTATGGGTAGAGTTCTGCTGTCCATCAGTTTCCTCTCGTCAGCCATGCTTGTAGGTCGCATTTGTCTCTACAGTATTTTTTCTCCCACCTTCCCCATAAATAGATGTATAAAAATTCCAAAGCTACAATATAATACCTTGGTAGGTTTGTAAGAAAATACTGTATCTGAGAAATGATGCTGGGTACACAAATATATTTCTTTATTCATTCAGAGAGAAATAGTCTTGTTCTTTCTGCTTATGTTGAAGACAAGACAAAAACGAAGCCATTGTCATGGTCACAGAAACTTAAAAACCTATTGCGTGTAAGAGAGGGTTAATAATTTTCATGGCAGTAGGAGTAAATAACATTTACAGTTACAAATTTACAATCGCATAATGACTACACAAGGTATACACAGTTCCTGAGTTGACCAGCCAGGCCCAGCTGCCAGTTGTTGCCAAATGCCTTGCCAAAGACACTGTAGTTTTCACACACAGGAAATGTCAAAGGTACATTGGATCCACCACTGTATGGGTGAAGTTAATTTTAGGGATGAATCTAGTGTTCTGAACAGAGGCTTCACAGCCAGTTACAGAAGGTTTATTTGTACATTTTAGGCCTGGTGCTCCATATTCCAGAAAATCCCCTATCCAGCAACCCCCAGGTCCCAAGCATGCTGGATATATTGTCCCATACCTATATAGATAAAAAGTTTTGCGACAACTTATCTGCCCCACCCCCTCCACACAAGACTTCTCTTGTTATGATGCAGGATGGCTGGACAGGTGCTGAGACCTAACTCTTGACATTCAACAACAAGTGGATTACCCCACCCCTATGATAGGATATTAGTTCATCAAAGGTTGAACTTGTATCACTCAAAGATGAGTGTACATGGTATTGTGTACAAAGGGGAACCCAGTCTTCCACTTCAGTGGGGAACTGACTTGTAATCCTCTTTTTGAAAGGCAAATGCTCTTATGGAGAAAAGTTCACTACTTCAGTGTTTGTGAAAATAACAAATCCAAATGAGCCAACTTCCTATAAAACAGAATAACCCTTTAACAAAGAACTTTGTGTATGTACAGTACTTTTAATTACAAAAGTTTTGTTCTTAAGATGTCACGAAACCAAAGAAAACTTAATTTTCTCTCTGTGATCTTTAATCCAGATAAATCAGATTATCACAGCTTCAACAACTTGAAATTTATTTTAACAAAACAAATCTGTTTCAATAAGTACTGTACAACACTTAAGAATACTTAAGAAATGTAACTAAATTTTTCTAATACATACACTATAAACATTCTCTGTTCGCTGAGCAACATCTTTATCCTGTACAAAAAGATTGTGGCCACCAGGGATGTTCTTCATGATGTGTCTCTCAATCTTGTCATTTTCTAGAACAGCCAGTCCATTGTCTATCAGGATAGGTGGAGGGGTCGCCTCAAAATTTGACCTGAAAAAAAAAAGAGCAAAGAATTAATAATGAAAGCAAAGGCAATACTGTAACATATTGATAGATAAGACTACAATATTCAGAAGAACTAAAATACAATAACTAAAATTTCATTATACATACTACTGTCCATTTTCAATAAGGAGACATTTCTTTACAATTCCTGCTCATATCACAAGTAGACATAAAATTACTTGAGACACCCAAACACATGTACAAGTAATATCTCCATTAGCCAGAATCCCTCAAATCCAAAACTCTCCAATACAGTAGCTGGACCTGAAATTTGTTCAGATTTTTCTGGAAATTTCTCTGAATTCCAGATTTGGGAACAAAGTCCAAGGTTGAAAATCAGGTGCATTTTCTTTAGATTCCAAGAAAAAAATTCAGGAAAATCTAAACACATTTTTATTTCTGGGTCTAGGAATAAATTTTCAGGCATTCCAAAAGATTAAATCATGATCCAACCCATCCCCACCTGCCAGGCACGTGGGTGGCCCAGCTGCTTGGATTGCTTAGTTCAAATTCTGCTGCCATTGTAGAAGGTTGTTCCCTTGCAAGCTACTGTTTTGGTGTATAATTTGTGTTGTACAGTGCTGTACATTATTGTACCAAAATCAGTCAAGAATGGTGTTAAAACAGTGTTAAGAACGTAAAAAGTGATTACAGTTACGTATACTATAGTGTATGCTGATAACCACAAGGAAAAAGAAAACACGAAGTTCCCAAGCGCTTTCGTGTAATTCACATCTTCAAGGGTGAGTACAGACTAAGGAGAAATACATAAGGCAAATATATATACAGTAGAGGAAGGTGAGATCAAGTCCACAATAGTCAGGTTATTAGGTAGTGACCCTACTATTCTTCAAAAACCACCGCAGCAGTCGGTAGTCAGGTCAGAGGGTAAGATGACCCAACCTTCTCACCTGGTTACAAATCTTCTTAATTACGAAATTATCCAGTTTGTACATACCATTACTCAAATTCATGTTGACGGATTCGGTATGTTTAATGAGACTGGATTCTATAATGTTCCTACTGTCAATTGAATTACAAGGTAATATTGAGGAGGCATTATCCCAGTCAATGCAATGCTTATTATCCCTTAAATGAACAAACAGAGCATTGGATTCCTGGCCTGTCCTAACACTATATTTATGTTGTTTAAGTCTAGTTACAAGATCTTTACCTGTCTGGCCTAAGTAAAACATATTACATTCCTTGCAAGGAAACTTATAAATGCAGCCACCTGTATTGTTGGGGGAGTTCTTGATTAACATTTGTTTAACAGTGCATGAGTTTTTAAATGCCACATTGACATTCCAGGTTTTTAGTTGTAAAGGAATTTGAGATAAATTTTTGTGAAATGGTAATACTAAGAGATTCTTATGGTTCTATAAAAAGATTTCTTAGTAATGTTCAGGCTTTTGTCCATGAAAGATCTAGGGTATTTAAGGTTCAAGCCAATATTATAGATATATTTATATTCCTCATCAAAGAATTCCGGGTTGCAAATTCTCAAAGCACGTAAAAACATTGATGAAAATGCTGACTGTTTGACTCTATTATGGTGGGCAGAATAATAATGAATGTATGAACACACATTAGTAGGTTTTCTATAAATACTGAACTTAAAGGTGTTACCTATTCTGTGGATAAGACAGTCTAGGAATGGCAAATTACAGTCATGCTCTAATTCCACAGTGAATTTGATCGAGGGGGCTAAGTTATTAAGTTGTGGCAGGAAAGCTTTTAGGTCCTCATTACATGGCCAGAGACATAATACATCATCTACATATCTAAACCAGACTGCTAAAGGTGGTAAAATATTACTTAATAGTTTCTTTTCAAAGAATTCCATATATATGTTGCTTAATACTGGTGAGAGTGGATTACCCATTGCCATACCAAATTTTTGAGCATAATATTCTCCATTGAATTCAAATTTACAATCCTTAATACATAGTTTGAGGAGTTCGGTGAAGTTGTCTTTCGAGACGAGCAATGAAATATTATCCAGGGAATCTATGAGGAACTCCAGTAAATCATCAACTGGGACCTTTGTAAAGAGTGATGTTACATCAAAACTGACCAGTTTAAAATCATAATTAATGTGTAAGTTATGGAGTTTATCAACCAGAACCATATTATTCTTAATATTAGAGTTAGAAATGTTGCCAACTAGGGGATTTAGTAAAGAAACTAACCATTTAGATAATTTATGAGATTGACCCAACACCCAGTTCAACAAAAAACTCAAGTCTCTATTGAGAGGCAAAGCTACTCTCATTAAACGTCTTACTTCAACGTCCCCTCCACTGCCATACATGTACGGTTTAATCAAGACCCACAAGCCTAATAATCCAGCAAGTCCCATCATTAGCTCAGTTGGGTCAAGTAAGATGTTTAATGTAAGATGTGATTACAGTTAAGCACTAAAGTCAGCTGAATGAACATTGTCTGTTGGTGAGTATACAGTATACAGTGGTCCCTCGGTTAACGAACACAATTTGTTCCAGAAGGTCGTTCGTTAACCGAAAATTTCGTTAACCGAAACCATTGTTTCAATGGGATATTGGGTAATTGGTTCCAGCTCACAGAAAAGTATATACAAAGTAAAGCCAGAATATAATTTACATTGCTGGAATTATTGTAAGATAGTGATTAATTTGAATACAAACAAGCTAAAATTTGCATTAGCCATACAAATTTTAGATCTAATTTAAGAATTTTATTAGGGAGAGCAAAAATTTTATGTTTTGTGCAAAATTCAGTAAAACCCCGCTTTACACGGTTTCACTTTACGCGTTTTCATGGTTATGCGGTACCCTGCCGAACACGGAATGCTCACTTTACGCGGTATGTGCACCCTTTTACGAGTAGAGTGGCTGGCGGTCCTCTCGCGCCGCGCCATTTTTGGATTCAAACCTCCCGCCCTCTCCCGCCATGTTGGGTAAGCGGCGCGAGTAGGTTGCGCAGTGTATGTATTTATTGCTTTATCAGTGATGTCATATGACGTATCGGACTGTGATTGGGCCAAGCATCCTTACGTCCCTCCCACGCTAGCTGTGATTGGTTTAATGTACTATGAAGTGCCCCGCCGCGGGAGCGTTCAAGCCATTTGATCTACCCGCGTCAGTTACACCCCTCCCGGCTACACCGTTTATATCGGCATCCATTGTTCCTTAAGAATGGCTTCCACCGGACCACCACCACAAAGAAACCTTGCATTACCTGGACCCAGCCGCCCTAAGCCAAAGAAGATACGACGTTCCCTAAGCTACGAAATTAAATACAAGATCATCCAAGAGTTGGAGAAAGGAACAAGACAGGATGATCTCGCGCGCCAGCATGGTGTTAACGAGTCTACGATTAGGACAATTAAGAAGGATGCAGCCAAGATAAAGGAGCACATGAACATCACAAAGTCTACAGGTGCTTCTATGATCAAGTATTGCCACAACCAGGTGCTTCTCAAAACGGAGAAATTACTTGTGAGCTACTTTCATCAGGCGCGACGGAACATGGCGGTGGACACGAGCTCAGTTAAGGAGTACGCACGTGAACTGTATGCTGCAGTGTCAAGTAAGATGGGAATTGCACAGCCCAAACCCTTCAATGCTTCCTCTGGGTGGTTGCAGAGATTTAAGAAGAGGAACAAGATTACCAACATTAATATTGGTGGTAAAGACGCTAGTGCTGACCGTGTTGTGGCTAGGGATTTTCCTCCGTTTTTACGTGAGATTATGGAGGAAGGACAGTACACCGACGTCCAGATGTTTAACATGGACGAATCCGGTCTCTTTTGGAAAAAGCTACCTTCCAAGACCTTCGTTGTCAAGACTGCCAGCAAGTGTCGGGGCCGGTAGTTGCTGAAGGAGCGCATCACCGTCCTGTTTACCACCAATGCCTCCGGTACCTGTAAGCTCAAGTTATCGGTGATCCACACAGCCCGCAAGCCACACGCCTACAAGAACATGGACATGACCAAGATAAATGTCCACTGGCTGACCGCACGTAAGGCGTGGATGTTCTCTACTCTGTCCCTCTCCTGGTTTGATGACTGTTTCGTTCCTGACGTGAAGAAATTCTCTGAGCAACAGAATGTTCCATTCAAGATTTTGTTGCTGCTTGAAAACGCACCAGGACACTCGCCCCTACTGTTAGATCATCACCCCAAAGTAAAAGTGGTCTTCCTTCCTCCCAATACTACGTCATTAATACAACCCATGGACCAAGAATTAATCTGCAATGTGAACGCTGCATTCTCTGCAAAGAAATTTAAGCTCCTGAACGACTACACCAACACCAAGGATGAGTTGCGTAACCTGGGTGACAACGATAGCAAGAGCAAAGACGACGAGGAACAACAGTTGGCAGAGCAAGAAGTACTTGTGAAACAATTTTGGAGAAAATTCAACGTCAAGAAAGCTGTGGACTTCTTGGTGGAGGCATGGGATCAGCTGTCTGCAGCAACGGTTTGTCACGCATGGAGACATGTGTTGCAAGGTATTCCAGGTGGGAGGCAGAGTAAATCTGTGACTGGTGAGGTTCAGACTGTTGCAGTAGTAGTGGACCTTGCCAGAGAAGCTGCGCAGAGTGTTACAGCTGCAGGCTTCTCCGAGACCACCAACGACGACATCCTGGAGGCGATAAGGGATCCTGATGTGACTGCCGACGAGATGCTAGTTGATGATGATGTCAGTGAAGAGGCAGGTGGTGCGTCATCCCAAGAAGAACGCAAGTTATCGCATAGTAATGTAAGGGGTGCCATCGAGTGGGTTGAGAAACTCAAGGTCCTCCTTTCCGATGACCCTGACGATAACCGGTATGAAGTCTTCACTACCCAGCTGTTGCAGACTATGGAGCCCTACATCAAGGTGTATCACAACAATATCAACACCAGCTGTCAGCAAAGCATTACCAAGTTCTTCTCCCGCAACCCACCACAGCCAGCCCAAGCCAGTGATAGTGACAGAGAGAGTGATGGTGACTTTGAG